TTTATTAATTAAGTGATTTAATTAAATTTAAGAAGTAATTTATAAAGATTATTAAATCAAAATGTATTATTGGTTAAAATAAAAAATTGTCATAATTGTCCTAAAAAATGTCAGCTAGGTATATGTATATTATATAATAATAATTACTTAATTTAAAAGAATTTAATTAATTAAAAAATATATTATCACTAAAAAAAATGAAGTAAAGACAAGCAAAAAAAATATGTAAAGGCGTGCGATGCCACGCAAAACAACGTCTCGAAATCAGCTAGCGGAGGAGTTGATTTGCACCAAACGTGAGGTTGAAGGGCTTATTTGCCCCCTTTTTACTTTCAGGGGCTTGTCACTTTCTGTTGAAAAGTTGAAGGGCTTAAGAAGGTTTTTTGCGATCTTCACAAACTTCCTTTGCACTCTTCTCCAAGAATTCATTTCCAGGTCTAGCAATGGTGAAGCTTGAATTTGCTGCTGTTTTGTTCTTGTCACTTATCCACTTCGCGTTCGCTTCGGAGTCGCCGGAGTTGTCACCTGTGCCGGCGCCTGAATTGGGCGATACTTCTTCTCTGGCACTCGCTCCTTCTCCGGTTGGATCTCCTGATTTTTCGCCGCTTCCAGATTCTCCTCCGTCTACGGTGGCTCCGTCGCCATCAGATCTGTCCCCGAATGGACCCCCGACTAGTTCGCCTTCTCCAGCACCAGGCGAGAGTGACATTAACCACATCAATGTTCCAGGCGAAGAGGATGAGGAGTTCCGTGGTGGAATGAGAGGAGGCAAGAAGGCAAGGATCGTGACTGCCGTGGTGACAGTAGCGTGTTCGGTTTGGTTCGCCCGTAGGGTTGACTCGGAGATCTCAGAAGGGCTACTCGGCGAGGAGGGAGGTACTGTGAACGGACTTTGGGCCATACTGTCATCGTTTATACATCACGTACCGACGGTACCGTTCGTTATTTACAATAATCTCTCCCGTTTATTAGCTGCTTGTCTTCAATTCGATCTTTTTACCGCCTGTTGGTTAGTGCTTGTGGCAGCTTGTGCATTGTTTCTACTGTTCATGTTAATAAGTGAAAATTTTAAATTTTTATTAGGAAAATTTAAAAATTGTTTTTAAGAAGAGAAAAAGTGGAGTAAAAACTAAAAAGAGAGATTGTGGCTGTAGAATTACTGTATGAGATGTAAGAGAAGTTAGAACTTAAAACTTGAAGTACTTCCACAGGACCACGATAGAAAGTTAGAGGCTGTCTCGGGTGATCAGAGCTTTTGATGGAAAATCTTTTTGAAAAAAATTTCTTGTAAAAGTCCTGATGTTAATAAGAAGTGAGCAGGGATTAATTCAACAAATCATTTATTAATTATTAATTATTTTTTATTTTAATTTAGTATCTCTATTTTTTTTTAAAACTCATTTATTAATTTTTAAAATTATTTCATTTTTATCTATTTCATACAATTTTCTTAATTATATTAATTAAAATAAAATAAAGGATTACATTTTTGAAAAAAATAAAATAAAAGTAAATTGAATCTTTTCAAATCCTTTTAAACTAGAAGAATTAAAAATAAAGGATTTGGAGGAAATCCATCCTCCCTCCAACTATCTTCCCTTTCATCCTCCTCTCTTGATGTCTTTATCCAAACAAGGGAGGGAAGAAAGCTAACCCAATGAGTCAAATGGTTCATCACCAAGCCTAAAAAGCTTAGGTCGAAATGGTTGGAAGTTCTACTGCCACCACTTGAAAAATCTCCCTTTCCACCAATTCTCCCCATGTTAAAAAAAAAAAAAAAAAAGAGAAAAAACCTCTTCCTCACTCTTCTCCCTTTTCTCCTAAACTCCCTCAATCTAAACAAAACCTTAAGGCAATGTTTTCAAAATCAAACCGGAGGTCGAACCGTTTTGACCTTCGATTCATGGTTTTTGATGGTTCAATCGATTTAACTGATAAAAAAATCGAGTTGATTAAATTTTAAAAATATATATTAAATATAATATAATGCAACTTAAATCAATGAATTAGTTGTGGCTTTAGTGGTCAGAATCTTTAATTACAAGAAGGAGAACTAGAGTTTAAGTCTTTAAATCATGTATTCCTATGATAAATATATCTTAATGCATGAAAAAACAACAAACTTGAATTGGATCAAGTGGCACGAATCTTATAAAGCATTCAAGAGAGTTAGTGTTCAAACCTCATGGAAGTCATATTCCCTTTAAAATCTTCTGACATTCTTTCAAAGATGTTCTTTGCAATTTTATTCACAATAGACAACTTTTGGAGAATTTAGTCTCAATGGTTGGCCTGGCCAGTTAGATGGGTTATCAGTTCTTATCAGTTTGGACGGTTTGAGTGGTTTTAAGCGGTTCAATCTTTTAAACGGTTTGAAATATTCACCCAACCTGTTTCTACTACCGGGTGTTAGTCTGACCAATTCAATTAGCCGATTCGATCCGATTTTCAAAACATTGGTTTATGATAAATTCTGCCATAAGGATGTTTTCACCCAATAGATATTGTTCACTTGACAAGATCCATCACCCTCTACTTTGGATCAATGTCTGTTAAATTTCATTGGGTTCTTTCAATCCACAATGAACACACAATTGTATACCAAACCAATTTACATGCTTACTATAATTTCCTTGAGTTCGTTAACTTGTAATGTTGCATGAAGTGACATGAGAAAAAGAAAAGAAAAGAAAAAAGAACTTGAGAAAGCTGGTGAAAAAAGTCACAATAGCATTTCTCCTCTTAATTAACAAAAGTGCTAAAAGAAAAAAAGAATTCTCTTAACACTTTTTTTTAGACGTCATAGTATGATTGGAAGGTGTTATTATTTTGTAATTAATCACAAAATCAACCAAGCAAATAATGTTTTAGTGCAATGGTTGAGGATGTGGCATTAGTGCAAAAACAAGGCATGAGTCTAATTAGAGAATCAAGCATATACATAACCATGGTGATCGCATTTGAGAGTTAAAACACACAAACTATCCTAAAGAGCAACCATTGATGAGAAATATTGAAATATAATGATAGAGAGATTGTATAAATAAATATTGATTTGCAAGAATAAATTGCCTATAATAAGAAAATTAATTAAAATTATTTATCATTATTATTAATTAACCAAACAAAATACTAATTATCATCAATATTTTGCTTTCTTCTCTCTCGTGAACCAAACATCTAAATCACAAAAAAAAAAAAAAAAAAAATCCAATAAATCACTAAATCACGATTAATTATCATCAATATTTTCCTTTACTTTCCTAGGAGCCAAACAGCTAACCCACCAAAAAAACTCCAACCGAAAATTTTCCTTGGATTGAAAAAATGAAGAGAATGAGGGTGAAATAGAGCATCACAAACTGCAACAACATGAATTCCATAAGACAAATTCAAAGAAAAAGTTAGAAGAAATTAAAATTAGGAATCAGATCCACTAGGCAATCTCCAAAATTCATTAACAAGTTCTAATCTTTTAAAAATTAAATCTTGAACAACCAAAACCCATTTAATAATCTTGCAAAATTTCATAATAACAAAGGCTAAAAGGGTATAAAACTCAAAAGCTCTCATCCAACATTTTTAAATCTATCATAATTGGGATGTCTAGCATTACGTGGCCTAGTGGCCATCCTCCTTTGTAAGAACGTGCCTAAACATGAAAGTTTTGGGATTTATTTCTAAGCACTACTCCCTCTATCTCCAACAATTCTCCTAAGTAAAAAAAAAAAAAAAACTATCATAATCGAGATTGTTAGATCGACAAGGATGAAGCTTTGTCAATACGAAATTTGAATCAAATGGGGAAGTAAGGAGGGTGAAGAAAAAGAGAAGGGGAAGACAGAAGAAGATGAAGGAGGGGGGAAGAGAAGCAGGACGTAGAAGAAAGGGAAGGCATGTTAAGTTTTGTTTTGCTATAATTTCAATGGTATATAAATGTGGTTAGTTGTAAATATGTTAAGAGATTCGGGTAAATTGGAAAGAAAGCAATATTTCGTTAAAAGAGATGGAGAAACTCCCGCAAAAGCATGAATTTGATGCTTTTTAGTTTCTTTTATACGAGAAGCTCTAAAGTGCTTCTAAAAGCTTCGCAAAAACTGTACGTCTTGTTTAGCTTTCAAATGTTTAATTTTTTTGATATTATTTATATTTCATAAATTAAAAATTTTCTTTTAAGAACTTAAATTTTTG